TCATATTTGTTCTAAACCCACAGAACCCTTGTTTTTGTGCTGATGGAACATAGGACCTAATACACAAACTGGTGCTCCCAAACCATTCCTTTGATTTTGTTCGGACTATTTTGTTACTCGTAATCTTTATAGTGCATCCATCGACAAGCACATGGATGCCTTCGCCAGAGGTGAAACTGTCCAACCGTCCAACACAACCATAAAAGTCGATAGTTACGGAATGCTTCAAAGACAGTCCGGTTGAAATCCATCTCTCGTTCTGTTCTTCATATTCCGATTCTAATGGTGTCTTGAACTCTTTCCATCAAGAGCAGACCGAGATGTTTCATAACTTTTCGCCCTCAACCCTATCACATCTCCCAAGTCCCATCGCGGTCTACCTGGATCTCAAAAAAATAAAATTGTTCAGATACATCACCCTTCCGGTACCTAGCTGCCATGCCACCCGAAAGAAACACGAGGGCTGAGGTAAGGCTAGGTTGCCCAAGCCTATACTGGGGGAGTCGAGAGACAGAGGTGGGGTTCGAACCACGGACTCACCGGTTAGTAAATTCGCGCTCTAACCACTTGGGCCATCTCGCCCCCACCTAAACCTTAAGAGAAACGTGTACCAAGCTACAGTTCAGACTGTCGTGTTAAAGAAATGGGAAACATGGTTTCTGTGAGTAGCGAAACAGAGGTGTCTTCAGGTTTTTGACCACCGTTGTCTCAAAACTATGGCTCGTGTAGGCTGGTGTTGGCGAATCCGCAACGAGATAAGTAAAAATGAGTGTTCGTTTGTGCTAGAGACTTCAACTGAAGAATGTTTCCAGCACAAAAAGCTAGATATCGTTTACCGAAGAGAGTGCTGTTTTCCGCGAACAATTAAAGTGGCAGAAGCAGAGAGATATCAACCACTGACCAATTAAGAGGGTATAAAAGGGAGCACGGAAGTGATGGGTGCTGTCGGTGCGACATACCTTCCAGGATGACGTCCCTGCGGTCCCCACTGTACATGGTTGGAGACGCCACAAGACAAGTCTGCTCGTCGACGTCAATAGCGTTCTTGTTATCAGTTTCTATCCAGATTGCCTGAATCAGTGTCTAGAGGGGTAGCCACCTCAGATTGAGTGTGCTAGGCTGGCACTAAGTCCCTCCCACATAATGTTTTCCTTACAATAGGGCTTACAAATTAATTATGGTTGTTTAGCAACGATACGTCGGTGTTGAATACTGATGTTATGCTGTCAATAATCAATAACTGTGCTAAGACACGCGTGAGAATTGTACCCCTATGGTTGAAAACAGGGACAACTAACGAATTATCTTAGCATCACCTACGGGTACCACCGTTGTGGTACACGCCTTATTCTTCGCTGAATGAGGCGCGAGTTCAGATGGCATCCCAGAGGAAATGCTGAAATCGTTTACCGAGAGAGTGCTGTTTTCCGCGAACAATTAAAGTGGCAGAAGCAGAGAGATATCAACCACTGACCAATTAAGAGGGTATAAAAGGGAGCACGGAAGTGATGGGTGCTGTCGGTGCGACATACCTTCCAGGATGACGTCCCTGCGGTCCCCACTGTACATGGTTGGAGACGCCACAAGACAAGTCTGCTCGTCGACGTCAATAGCGTTCTTGTTATCAGTTTCTATCCAGATTGCCTGAATCAGTGTCTAGAGGGGTAGCCACCTCAGATTGAGTGTGCTAGGCTGGCACTAAGTCCCTCCCACATAATGTTTTCCTTACAATAGGGCTTACAAATTAATTATGGTTGTTTAGCAACGATACGTCGGTGTTGAATACTGATGTTATGCTGTCAATAATCAATAACTGTGCTAAGACCAAGTCTGCTCACGTCAATAGCGTTCTTGTTATCAGTTTCTATCCAGATTGCCTGAATCAGTGTCTAGAGGGGTAGCCACCTCAGATTGAGTGTGCTAGGCTGGCACTAAGTCCCTCCCACATAATGTTTTCCTTACAATAGGGCTTACAAATTAATTATGGTTGTTTAGCAACGATACGTCGGTGTTGAATACTGATGTTATGCTGTCAATAATCAATAACTGTGCTAAGACACGCGTGAGAATTGTACCCCTATGGTTGAAAACAGGGACAACTAACGAATTATCTTAGCATCACCTACGGGTACCACCGTTGTGGTACACGCCTTATTCTTCGCTGAATGAGGCGCGAGTTCAGATGGCATCCCAGAGGAAATGCTGAAACCGTTGGTCGATTGTCCTACAAGGCTACTTGACCAGTCCTCGAATCAAACAAAACTATTACTAGACTGGAAGACGGTCTCCATTGTAGCTATCGACAAAGACAGCAGCGAACCAATTCAGCGGGCCTTATTCCAGTAGTTCGAAAGGACCTAATACAACCGTCAGTATTCTACCGAAGAAATCTCGATACGAAGATAAGGGACTGATTGAGAGAACTAAGAAAGACAGCATGTTTGAAATGGAGGACATTGCCCTGCAAAAACAGCAGGTGAGCGCTGAAACAAGCCTTCCGAAGAGGTAATAGAGGTCGGTAATGTTGCCACTTTCACATACAAACTAGAAGCACGGTGGGTGATGATATTCTGAACCCAACGGGGAAGCATCTGGACCTTGACCTACACTAGAAAACCAGCTTCTTCTTGTCTTCACTTATCGTTATTACAGTTTCTTATCGCCGCAGTCTCATTTTCCTATTAATTGTTACTGTGATATTCTTGTAACACCTCTATTCCAGATCAACCTATTTCTTTTAGGCCTTCCTGCTTTTTCATATACCACTACGCACTTTTCATGCATAGGTTAACGTGGGGGGGGGGGACGGCTACAAGCTTTGCATATCGTATTGACAAGACGGTGTGCGTGAGATGGCTGTGGTTGGAGCACAAATTTACTGACCGGAAGGTCCGTGGCTCAAACCCGGTCTTTGCATCTCGACTTCCCCTGTCTATGATTGGGCAACCTGGCAGTATTGCAGCCCTCGTGCTTCTTTCGGGTGGCATGACAGCTTAGCACCGAAGAGGTGTTACAGCTGAACGTTTTTTTTGCCCAAAAGTGAAGCGGATAGTGTCCTGATTAGCTACGAACTCGCACTTGTGTGGTACCTTACCAGTCACATTCAGTGAAACAGAGCGAGGCATATTTCATTCAAAATTTATATGATCTACTTTACTGTCGAAGAGTACACAGATACTTGGAACACGCGTGCGCAATGAATCGGGAAGCGTCAAGTCTTGTCCTGGTGTCTTGCCATCGGAGCCTGATACCTACATCTTATCCTAATACTCACCTATCCTACCTATCCCAATACCTGATACCTAAATCTTATCTTATCCGCCAGTCTTCCTCGCGCTCGACATCTACCGACGCAGCGATAAGGGACAGCACCCAAAGTTCATCCAATTCCTTGATATCACGTCACTTGTACACAAAGTCCAACCTCATTCACACCCGCTGGATGTAACTTTACCGTCCTTACTTCATCGTACCTATCATGAGTATTTTCTTCCGAGATGGCGTCGGTGGTCTCTTTAAATCTCCTTCGTTCTTCTGGTCCTTCCTCACCTAGACGTCATGCTTCAACATCAAACTGATCCAACTTTTCGAGAAATACACTCATTTGCAAGTGTAGCATGACCTTGCACTCTGTGGGCTTGAAGCACATCACGAAGGGCTGGATGACCTTGTCAGTTTTTCTAGTATTGCTTGCACACCCTGCACTTCTGCAAAAATGGTAACGTTGTCGTCCGCGTATTCCAGATTGACAAGGTTCTCGCACGTCCACCTGGAATATGCAGACGACAAATCGATGAATGAAACTGTGGCAGCTAGAACCCCAGTACAAGGAGTGCGAAGTTTTTAGAGATGATGGCGATGATGAGGCTTCCATTCTGATAGATCGGAACATTGGAACATTTGCAGACTCTCTATTGTTCAGAACACTACTTCAATAGTGAAAAAATACTCAGAAACCGAAACCCTTTTCGGACACCATTCATTGTAGTAAAGCCTTGAGATAGCTCCCAATACACTCCTATGAGCCCACAAGTGTGTGAGTACAAATGACGCATAGTGTTCAAGGACTTCTAGGGCATACCATTTTGCGGAAGCGTTTTCATAACTAACCGGTCAAAGTATCAAACACTCTTGAAATCAAGGAACACCAAGATGGTAGTGGTTGTATGAATGATATTGCTCTAAGGCTTGACGCAGTGTAATGATGTAGCTAAAAGGGACCCTCCCGGCCGGGGTGCTGGTTGCTGTTATCTGCACGCAACTTGGTAAGACGACGTAGAAGAAGCGATACAACAGTCTGGTTACAAAGAGAGTTCCCTGTGATCGCTACACTTGTTACGAGCAGCCCTTCTGAAACAACAGCTACCGAATAATTCCAGTTAGTTGAGACCATCTTTTTCGTCCAAATAGAAGCAAATAAGCTAGCCAAGTGGGAAATGAGAATCTCAGTTCTAAACAGCGTTGGATATTCGAGGACGGGTAGCTGGGTGATGCTTGAGAAACAAGTTACTTACTTGTTCCGACGTTCCAAGTTCACTGTCCAGGATTGCCTAGCGGGCTCGATGAATGCAGGTGACAATTTGCATTGTTGTCAGATATTCAACTCAATGATTCACACGCATTTTTATAGGCAGGCAGGCCGTTTTATGAGTGACCGTTCGGCTCACGGCGCAACATCACCATCACCATTGATAACAGTTCACCCGTACTGCATATAGGTACTCGACTGTTGTATAGGAGGGCGCACCATAATTTCACATACTTATACTCCCACATTCCCATTGAATTTACACTTGCTATCATTTTATCCACTTTTTTGTTGAGCATTTTATCGAAATCCTTGACCATGGGACTATCTTTCCTATGCAAGGCGTCCACAGTACAATAAAAAGCAGATAAAAATAATGATAGACAGAAGAGCTACCCACTGGGAAATAATAAAATAATCGACATCAAAAGACTGCCGTTCTAGAAACGGCAGTTGTAGGTACTGGACTTACTTCGAAAAGACATCGCAACAGTAATTTCTTCGAAGGCGGGGAAAAGCTACACGCAGACCCGACATCAGTGGCGAATGAAGGACAACAGCAGCGACACGGTACAACGTTGCCAAATGGACGGTGGGAACTGTGCCTATACTCTGCCCGTACAACACTACCTGTCGCAACGGTACACCGAACTCCTTTTGAAGTACTTCAAGTGCACATTCAGCATCGGCATACAGGTTTTTCTCGAGAGGTTTACCGGTGGATGCTCCGTACCCGGAATAATCATAGCACATCATATTGACATTAAGTTTTGTTCCAAGCTCGTGCATAAAAGTAACCATTAGCCCAAGGTCTACAGCGTTTCCATGGCTCAACAGAAAAGTCAGCTTGCTAGACGGGTTATTCCGCATGTATACTATTGCAATTCTGTTTCCTCTTCGAGTGGTTGCGGTAGTTACTTCGAGGTTATCCGGCACGAATGCCATGAAGGTTTCCCGCATAAATGGAGCGTACACGAATGACAACTTCCCAGAAGTCTCATCCAATGACAGTTCGTAACTTGCTGGAGGGGGCATGAAGGCCAACTTTGCAGCAATTTTAGAAGGGACTGGGGGACAGCACAAAAGATGACAAATGCTGTTGCAGTTTAGTTCGTTCATGTCAAGTTAGCGAAACGCAGATTCATAAATACAAATGTACACCGTAATTCAAAAGGCCTGAGAATAAGAGCTGTTGGTTGTTGTCGACCGGAACACTGTGAAAGATAGGGGAAAGTTGGCCAAGCTGTTGAGGGATGGATTGGGTGTGGGCATGTGATTGCTGCCGACGAAGGCTGATAACAACAGTAAGAGAAATAAGCCTCTAAACGCGACAAACGAGGATGGGAGAGCCCAGTCCGTCGTCTTTTGCCATTCGACTGGGCGACAGCAACAGTCTAGAACACTGGGACCGACGGTCAACGTGGGTCGCGATGCTCTGATTGGTTCACGGGTTCACGAAGTGATACACAGGATCGAGGCTTGCGCCCAAGTTTCCTGGGTCGCTTTTGTTCATGTCGATCAGTGGCTGTCGTCCACCTGAAAGGGGCAAGTGAAAAAAGGATGTAGCACTGCTCTTCATGTTCTCAGCGCGGGGCAGTATGCTTGCCAGAGCGAGGATTCGCATAAATAAGTGTCTGACAGTGATTTAAACTGGGTTCGAGAAGGAGCGTGGACAACCGTCGGAGGAAGGTCATTCCACGTCGGTTCAATGGTACAAGACCAGTTTGCCAAGCTTTGCTCAAACAGGACATAAGTAAGAATTAGGGTCACTCGGAGGCGACGATACTCCAGGGGAAATAGACCAAGCATCGCGAGACGCGTTTCGTAGTCCACGGATTTGAAGCCGGCAAATATTCTCGTGGCGGATCGCTGGACACGCTCAGTGAGGGTGACGTCTTTCGTGGTTCCTGAGTAGACAGTTTGGTTGGCGCATTCCAGGAGCGGTCTGACGTAGGCCCCAAAGAGAATTTGGAAGTCCATGCGAGTAATACGGGAGTAGGTGTGTGGGGTCATCCGTAAAATGGCGAATGCAATCCGGGCCGATTTCTCATGATGTAGTGAGAAGGACAAGTTTGAGGAGACCCAGATGCCCAAACCCTTTTTGGGATCTATCCTTCCGCACCATGCATAACAAAGACATTCGCTGAGCCTCCTAAGAACGACATATGGACGCACTTTTCGTCACTCAGAGAAAGGTGCCAGTCCAACGACCACTGCTTGGCAGCGTCTACATCCATTTGGAGGGCACTGACATTGGAACTCCAGGATTTCAAGTCGTCCGCAAAAAGTAAACATGGACTCGCAAGAGCGTCTGGGAGGTCGTTGACGTAGATCAGAAACAGGAGTGGTCCCAAGACGGAGCCTTGAGGAACTCCAATGGAGACCGGCGCTTGAGAAGTATAGGTCGAGCCTATTCTCACTCGGAATGATCTGTCTGATAGGAGCGCCTTGATCCGGCGAAGGATTTTCCCTCGAATCCCGTGAGACTCGAGTTTGTGGAGCAGCGGAACGTGTGGGACCCTATCAAATGCTTTTGAGAAGTCGAAAAATATGGCATCCGATATGAGTCTTTCGTCCTTGGCTTGGGTTAAGCTGTCCATAAACACGAGCACGTTTGTCACGCAAGAGCGGTTTGGGAGAAATCCGTGTTGAGCTGGAGATATCAGGTTGCTGGGAGAAGGTGGTCTAGGATAGCTCGCTTCAGAATGCGTTCCATCACCTTGCACGGCGCGCTAGTGAGGCTTATAGGCCTGTAGCTGCCAGGCGATAATCGGCCACCAGTTTCGTAGAGTGGCGCGACAATCACCTCCTTCCGGGCAGAGGGAAGGCGGCCTTCGTCAAGCGACTGAGGAAACACCCTGTTTGGACGATTTCCCATTATGGAGGACGTTTCCTTCAGGATCCTTGGTTGGACCTCGTTGGACCCCAACCCGCAGAATGGGTTGATCTGGTGCAAGAGTTGACGAGTGTCCTACACCGTGAAGACCAAGTCAGTTACAGGCTGTTCGTAGTTCCGCCTTGACAGGAGTAGATGTGACGAAGAAGCTGGGGCCGAGCATAGACACGCATAGTGTTCTCTGTAAACCTCAGGTACCACTGTTGTGTCATTCGTCGTTTCTACGTTTCTGTCCCTCAAGGAGAACGTGGATGGTTTGTTTATGCGGCGATGTCTCATTTATTTGAACAAGACGTTCTTGTTTTTCCGAGCGAGGTCCAGGATGGTGGCTTGTTTTCGTATGTTCCATTGGCGGATTTCTGACTTGCAGCGGTTCCGCATTTTACGAAAGGCTAGCTCAGCTTCTGTATCCCTGTAGTCAACTTTTTGAAAAAGGGGTGAGACGTATTTTCCAGAAGTAGTCGAATCTCTTTTGGCATCCTGCGGTTCATTCGGGTGCGTGCCGGTTTTTTTGAAACGAACGTCGCGCCAGCCTCGTGAACTACCTGGACAATGGTCCACTGGAGCTGGTCCCAGTGTGACTTGTTCAAGAAAGATGCAAATTCCTACGAAAACTTTGACCGTTGCTGTTTCTAGCTCTTTCAGCACCCCCATTTTGGCGACCAGATTGCTGTTGATCAGGGATTTTCGGCAAGCTTTCACCTTTCTGGATTCTTGGCTGTTTTGGTGCGGTTTGACCGGAAAATTGTTTCTGTGAGGCCCTGGGCGCTGCGTGGCGGCACCAAGAAGTAATGATTTTGGTGGCACTCCCAAGAGGCTCGTTTTCGCGGAGGAATGCACCTTGAAGCAAGCCAGCAGTTTTCTAATCTGGCAACTTTTATGTGGCTTGTTTGGCTGCAGTCGCTCTTCTTTCATGTTGGTGTGGACACCCGACCCGCCAGCGATCAGCGTGGCCACCTGGATGTACGAGGGATTTTCTGGATGGCGGTGATCATGTTTATGGCTTTGCTTATCGGGGTCCTTGGCGACGGTTGTGTCCACAACAGGGAGGCCGCTTTTGACGGAGTGGAGCTGGAGATTGGCTTCGCTGGTTGTCCCCGCACATCTGACACAGTCAAGTTTAGAGTCTGTGGCTTTGTTGAGGTGTGTGTGCCTGCAGCTGTATCGTCAGTTACGGATATAAGCGCTGATAGCTCCACGTACTTTGGGCCCTGCTTGCACGTGAGGTTTGCCCCCTTTGCTGCATTTGGTGGGCGAGAGGCTTGTGTTGGTCGAATAAAAACTGCTGTTCGGAGACGCAGCTGGTTTTGTCGGCCTGCTTTCGGGAGCACAGGGGGATATGACCACAATCGGTTTGGTCATGAGTTTGGGGTCGGCTTAATTGGTGCCCAGCGGAAGCCTGTTTCGTGCCTCCACCCCAGACCTGTCGTAACCCAGCTCTCGCGAGTCCAGAGGGTGATCCTCAGTGAGACGCCTGACCATTGGGTTGGCCTTCAGAATGCTGTCAGCCCTCTCCAAGTTCTTCTGTACGTCAGATGGGAAAGGAAGAGTGACTAGAAGTCCAAGAGTTCGCTTGCTTCCCTTCTGGCGGAACCATTCTGCGTGGACCGAATGATCAGTCTTGGTGAGAACATTGCTAAGGATTGATTGTGCTACCTTCGCTGGCGTGAGTTTTCCGGGGAATGCCCCCAGATTATCAATGTATTTCCTTGAGGTCCTGTCCACTAGAGGCGCTGTGGTGGTCTTTATAGCCGTGTCGAAGAGTTGTATGACTTTCTTTGCAGCCAGAGGATCCGGCATGGATATCTCGGGGTACTCGTTCAGTGAAGAAAGTTCCGTGCAAACTTTCGTCCAAGTCACTGCATTCTTAGTGTCTGAATCCTCCAGCGCCTTTGAAAGACGCTTTAATTTCGCGTCGAGTATCCCGATCAAAGCGGACCATTGAAATCGGTCTTTATGCAACTGCAGTGGGGATTGGGTACCGTTTTTTGGGCTCTCCTCTTGACTGCGGTATGTATTGCACCCTTAACGTAGAGGCAGGTGGCGCAGATAAACGGGTCAGGAGAGTTAACTAGTCCGCTTATCTGGTCGTTCTGTAAACACTTGCATTTGAAGTGCCAGCAGGCCTTGAAGGTGCGGCATTGTTTACCGCGTTTGACGTTCGACGGGCAGCCGTTTCGCACACATCTGTTGTTGTCTATCAATGGCCGCAGAGGGCAATCCGTATAAATTGATGTCATGTTTCGGGCTAGATGTAAAATAGGAAGTGCGCGCAAAATATCAAGGGTTGTCTCTCAGATGTTTTGTCAGCGTAATAAAATTCAACAATTACTCGTGTGTAATCTGTGAATAAATTTAACAACGAAAAAATTCCTTCACAAATTTGCACGAGGGAAAAACAAAACCAACTCCGAACGTACCGCAATATTCAAAAATTGGGTGTCACGATGCGACCGTCCAAATATCTCAATATTTAGGCTAGTTAGTTATGCACGGATAAAGTCAACGGAGTTGATTCACCCACAAGCCAACCAAAAACAAATGAATGGCGGAAACGTTTCAGATGGCCTATACATAAAGGATACTGTAATGCAAAATAGGGGTTCGCGAGATGACGGACACATTCGCCCCGTAGTAATGCTGATGCTCCATGCTATTATTGCGACTTTTTGTGAGGCGTACAACAACGGTTGACTTGAGGCCCTGTCCCACACCTGGCCTTTACCAAGCAAATTTATTTGATTCTAGTGTTGGATAGACACCAGTCACACTATACCGAACAGTGTTTCGGAAGATCCCCGGATTACATAAATGTGAATTCTAGTAATTTAGGACCAAGAATTTTAGTAGATGCGCTATATTTGCGTTCAGAAAAGCAGAAAATTTACTCTAAAACTAAGTAGCTGCTTCGGTGGTGTTTTAGCTGTTAGTCCTCTTGGGGATGCTGATCATAGGGGTCTGTAGTGTTTAGTATCAACCTTTGGCATCCATTATGACGTAGCGCACTTTGCCAATCGGATAAACGTTCTTTGTTTGAATACGGAAACTACAAAACACGCGCACTTGCACAGTTTCACGGAATACAAACGTGGTCACGTGCTTCTACGCCCTCTTCTGGTTTCGTTCACGCTTACGGCTGTCATTCACGAGTCTCATGAGCTACCTCTGGTGGCACAACATTTCAGACTATTTTCGGAACTTGTTATTAGTATGAAAGGCTCAGAAGAAGACCTCTGGTCAACCATGATTGTACTATTGTTTATTCACTGACCTGGGCCAACGATGAAATATTTTAAAGAGAACAATCATTAGTGAGTCTGTCCCACCTGACATCATTATTACTTTACGCAAAATCCAATGCTAATATTTGCATTTCTTTGCCTCACAGTCCTGGTAAAGCAAATTATTGATTAGCCAGACCACAACAAATCTGGCGAGTCTGAGTCTCCCTGGATATTCTTTTTAGCCTTTCTTCTGAGTCTCCGTATTGTTTTCTTTACTCGGTCATTATGGAGGCACACCTCGAT